TACAACTTGTGTCGCTGCTGTGTTGTCTTAATTGCAAGAGGGCGAGGCACGCCCAATTGCACATGCCGCTACGGCCTCAAGGAAGTCACAGGATAGAATTTTGTAATGGCGATGGGTTGATGAAAAGACAGTACACGTGAGCCTACAGTTGAAGGTCTCACAGCATTTGAAGGGAGATCTGCTAAAGGAGCTAGATGACGAGTGCAGACACTTGTCAGTGCGTAAGACTAGGGACGCTTTTACTGGTCAGGATATTCCGTACGGATGATGACCAGTGCAACGTGTCACACAAGTGGCGCCAGAAATGGGCCAATTCCTCGACCAAGGGCAATCTGTCATGGACGACTTTATATACCGCTTTGGTTATCCTCATCGAGTGCTTAGGGACGAAATTCAAAATTTTTAATCTCGGAATTTTCGTTGGTTACGCAGCTGGATTGAGCGCTAAACTGCTTATCTGTACGGTTGCCGATGTTATTTCCAAGATTGCAGAAGAGCGGAAAGAATGGGATCAGCACTTTCCTGAGGTCTCCTTTGCATTGGGAGTATCAACGCATGACTACAGGGTACTCCCCTAGGCGTTCTTGTCCGGCGGAACTGAGATTACCTATTGACGTAATGAGAGCCGGACCTACATCGGAATAACCTACTGATTATCCTTCTTTTGTCAAGGACAGCGTGAAGTCCAGGGAGGGGTGGAGGGAAATCGGGAGACCAACCCCCGAAGAATGTCTACAATGCACATTGCGACGCTGGTATCGATATCTCTCGAAATCTTCCATATCAAATATGGGTATTACGTCCAAGCGTGAGCTGCACAAGGCAGTAAACATCAACAAACCCCTAGGATGAACTCGGAGTTAATTAGAAAAAAAAATACGAAAGAACTGTTCAAATATGTCCTTTAAAAGAAAATGCGTTGTATCTAAGATACAAGATTAGATGTTTTTCTTTCTCCTGTGTATATCTGGAACGGCTTAAGTAGTTATACAACATTATGAACAATGCCATGAGGTAAGCCTCTACTCTTTTATTGCAGATATTATATAGAGTGTTTTACAATATTTTAAATACAGCTTAGCGTGTTTCGATAATGTACAGAAATAAACGCTCATCCTTGCTCTAACAACATTTCCACTTTGAAATAAGCGGTTAATTTCATCATACCAAGGGTCTATCAGCCACAACCCCTCTGAATACCGCTTTTTGTTTCTTGTACGAATCGAAAACATTGGCAAAATAATTAATCTGATTTTGGGATCACTCTATTGAGACGGTT